CTAATTTAGCAGCATGAGATGAGGAGCTGAGACTGACTGAGGGTTTTTGCTCCTTTTCTGCTGCCAGCCACAGGGTAGGGATGTCCCCTTATGCTTCACTGTGTGCCTAGGGCCAGTCTGGAGATGCTCAGTCGATGGGAGGCCTGAGGGATGGCTGGGCACCGTGGCACGCGCCTGTAATCCCAGCCCTCTGGGAAGCTGAAGCAAGAGGGTCTCAAGCTCAAGCCCAGCCTGAGTGACTTAGGGAGACCTTGTCTCAAAAATAAAAGTAAAGAAAGGGCTGGGGATAATAGCTCAGTATGAAGGTCTTGGGTTTAATACATAGTACTGAGAAATTCAAATAGATCTGAAAGCTGAACCAATTTAATAATCAAAAGAAAAATGAAATGGTGCAGATATTCTGTAAGGTCATTTGAATTTCATTGTTAACTTTATATAGTAATATATAGTTTGGTGCCAACAGATAGAGAACTACTAGTTATATATTTTTGAAAGAAATAAAGCATTTTGTTAAACATAGGTCTTTATTGTACACATCAAAAGACAAGTACTCTTGTCTTTCAGAAGCTTCCTAGTATAGATTGAGCATGCCAAATCTGAAAAATTAAGATCTAAAATCCAAAATTTTGAAAGATGCACAACTATCTTAAAGTCCTAAGCATTGTAAATGAAGGATACCGAATCTGCATAGATAGAAGTTATTCTAAGATAAATATGCAGTCTTTTCCTAAATTTCATAGAGAAAACAATAGACCCTACTGGACAGTACTTAATATATGTAAAGTATTTTTATTACAAAGGTTTACAATTTGAGGTAGTTTTGAAAGTTATTGGAATTTTGAAGGTGTATATGAAGGTACTGTAATCAAATTTAAAGAAGCAATTTAAATTTGAAATTTTCCTTGTAACCAATGTAAAACATTTATAGCAGTCTGAATCATGTATTTCAGTTTGAAATTACTGTCCAATTAATGATGTTAATTGTATTTTCTGCTTTTGATAATGTATTGTGTTTATATAAGATGGCATTAGTAGGGATGGCTGGCTGAAGTTTATTATATCTTTTATACTTTTTTTAATGATTTAACAGTTTAATAAACAATTTAGAGAAGGAAATACATAAAGTATTGAACCTTAGTTTCAGTCTGTTAGCATCATTTCTACTAACTACAGACTGATTCATTTACTTAAAATTCATCTTGGATGAGCATTTATTTGTTTTGTGCTTAAAGTGAACTTCATCTGTTAATACAAAGACACAGGTGATTTGTGTAGCCGCTAAGTCTGCGAAGGAGTTCTCTGGTAAACTTAAAGTTATCAGAGATTTTTAGTCTTTCTTGTGCTGTAAAGATGAAGGTCAGGTGAGTCAGGAAACATTCAAGAAATGTTCTTCAGTTTAGATTTTCACAATCTAAACTGAATTTTTTTAGTTTGAATAATTAAAAGTACTGAAAGTTTTCATTTTCTCTTTCACAGTATTTTAGTCAAAATTAAATAGTTTCTTGAATAGGTCGAGCCATTGTTTCCATTTTATAGAAGAGGAAATTGAGAGAATTCACTTAGTTTATGACTTATCTAGGAGCAATCACTGAATTGAGATTAGAGCTGGAAACATAGATCAAGATTGGAATTCTAAACATTTCTTTAGACTGCTATCCTGTGCTTAGTCCAACAGACCATGGCAGTAACCAAATTAAATTTATATATTTTTCACAATGAGAGCAAGGGAAAAAAATTCCGGTTTCAGACACGGTCCATAAATATCTAATTTTACAGTCTGATGCATCAAAAATGTTGCATCATTATCATATCCCTTCTTTCACATGTAGCATAATAAAAAGCCCATAGCATAAGACAATAATTTGAAAAAGTTTTGTTCTTATTAAGAAAGATGGCAGTTATTGCACAATAAACTCCCTTTTTTAAAAAATTGAAAAAGACAAGTGTGTAACAAATGTATAAAAACAGTACGTATACTTGACATTTAGTATATGTATGTCTCAGTTGCTCTTCTCGCATTGCTGGGACAGATACCTGATACCCAAAATGAAGGAAGGAAAGGTTTAGCTCACAGTTACTGGAGGGTTCGGTCCACACTCAGCTGGCTCCAAAGCTGAATGGCACATGGCAAAGAGCAACCTTTCATGGTGGCAGCAAAGAGCCGAAAGCAAGAGCCAATGGGAGTAGCAGCAACAACAGCAATAGAGAGCAAGTCTGTCACCCTTACATTGCATTTAGGCTATCTGCCCCAGACTGGGTGTAGCACTCACACCCATAATCCCAATAGTACTCATACCCATAATCCAAGTGGATCATGAATTAATCATAAAGTCTAGAAGTCCACCCCAAGACTGCATGAGACTTTGGTGGGACAACTAGACACAAACCATAACAATGTATGTGCAGTTTATATATCATAAGTGTATAATGTAAGGCCTACTGAAATTCCTTACAGCCTCACAAACTTGATGCACAATATGAAAGAATACTGCTGTGTAAATTAAATTGAAATTTAGAAACCGATTTAAATTTTATTCCATATTTGTCTGAGAACTGAAAACAACTAATATGAAATATTTTTCTATAGTGTTAGTTTGGGATGTTGCAATAAAAACATAGATTGAGTGATTAAACAGGAATTTATTTTTCATATTTCTGGAGGACAGGAAGTCTGAGATTAGGATGCTAATATGATTGGGCTATGAGGAGGCCTACTTCCTGGTTTACGAGTAGTTTGTCTTGTCATTGTATCCTCATATGGCAAACAGAAGGCAAGAGCTCTGTGTCTCTCTTAGAAGAGACTTTATTATGGTGACTTTATTATGTCTGAAATGGTGAGGGCCCGCCTACTCAGACTGTGTCATTGGGGCCTAGGGTCAGTATGACTTGGCACTCATAAACATGTAGCCATATATAAAGAAAGGCTTTCTTTTTATAGCAGTTTGTTAAAAATTTCAGTAGGCCTTACATTATACACTTATGATATATAAACTGCACATACATTGTTATGGTTTAGTCCACTGTGGACTAAAGCCCTGAATTCTAGATTTAGGTCTTATTCTGCTAAATATGTTGATCATGGAAATATATTTTCAGTATTATCGTTGGGAATTAGAATCCTGATATTAACAAAGCATTTTGTCAGTAGCATCAAGATCTGTCTTCCCTGCCTGCTCCCTCTTACCCACCCTCCCTGCCTCTGCCCACCTCCCACTGACAGAATCTTGCTGTGTTGCCCACTCTGTTCCAATTTTAGTATATGTGCTGCCAAAGCAAGCACAGGAGATTGTTTGTTTGTTTTTGTGGTACTGTGGATTGAACTCAGGACCTTGTGCTTGCTTGGCAAGCACTTATTCTGCTGAGCTATCTCCCCAGCCCTTGTGTTGCTCACTCTGGTTCCAATATTTTGTGTTCAAGCAGTCTAAGTTTCTTGAGTATCTGGTACTATGCCACTGTGCCCAGCTGTGATTTCTTTAGTGTGTATTTTTTTTTAAAGATTATTCTCCTTTTGTATTCTGTTGTTAACATTCTAATCAATATCAAGTAGAGCTAGATGATAATGTGTTGCTTCTACATTCAATGGTTTGATTTTTTTACATTGATTATTTTCTTTAAAATGACAGTTTGAAGTAACATTAAAGACATTGAAAAATTAAAGCCCATATCTCATTTATCTTAGATTAGGAATTGTTAGGAATTTTGTTCCCTAAGTCTTAGCCAATCCTTTTTACTTTTGAAATCTTAGTTTTTTGTTGTTAGCATTTAGTCTAGTATTACAAGGTTTACTTAATCCTTACCTTGCCTCATCTCAGAGACATATTTTGAATTAAATTTAGTTCCCCGAAGAAAGGTCAACATACAATTTTCATGTGATATCTGGTCCTTTACTATGCGTATTTTGAGTTCATTTCTATTTTAGGTTGCCTGTCTTTGGACTGTCAAATCATAGTTTATTTCACCTGGTTGAATTACTAAGATTTCATTTCCCCAGGAATCTTTTACCCATGGTGAAAATAAATATAAAAATAGATAACATTTACTTACAAATGTAAATTCCATTCCAGTGAGACACCATTTAGGAATCCAGTCCAGTCACAAAGTACCCATCACACAGAGGATACTAAAAAAAATTTGAATAAATGAATCAATTAATGGTGCTGTTACCTGTCTACTTAATGATTTATACACTAGGGTATTTATGTGTCATGGTTTGGGGTTTTGCAAGGGGAACAATATAGTATAAGACACATATTGTATGAGATTTATACAACAGTGACCCAAAGAATCATACATGAAGAGTGCTGGAAATCTGTCCACATTCTGAAGTCCAAAGTTCCAGCTGAGGGCCTGGATCCTATTATCATGCGTGAGTCCAGCTGAAAACCTAGAACTCATAACAATGCCTCCATGAATCCAGCTGGAGACCCAGAGCCCATGACAATCTTATGCAGGCCCGCTTCATGAATCTGCGCTGGGAAGGCCCAAAGGTCAGTGGTGGAAGCTAGAAAGGCTGTGCCATCGGGATGAAAGATCTGTGCCAGCAGCCTGAGGAATCTGAACTGGAGTCAGAAAGTAATGCTCAAAGTAAGAACTGAACTCCCCAAAAAGTACCACAGCCATCCTCAGCAACCGTGAGGTCCTGAGCTCCTCCAGTGATGAAGAAAGCCAATGCAACAAGCTTCTTCAAGAGGCTAAGCAATGCATCTTCCCCTCCGGGGCCAGGAAGCAGTGCTCAAGGTGAGGGCCAGAGTTGTCCCATAGTGAACCATAGCTATCCTCAGTGACAGTGAGGTCCTGAGCTGCTGCTGCTGCTACTCCACCTCCCACCCCACCCCAACAAGAACTTCACCAGGAAGGCCAGCATGACAAGGGCCTACAGCAGAATAGCCCAAGAGAGCCAAGAGCTTCCAACAGCTTCTCCAAAGAGCTTCCTTCTCAACAGTTCCTCTAGTTTTGCCTCTTATGTTGCTGGCAGAAATCCTTAGGTGGGCATCCCATACCCAGCAGCAGCTAGTTGGGATCAGTTGGGTGTAACAAGTTGACCATCAGTTGGCAATGCACTATAGTATGGTAGCTGTAATTCAGGTATTTGTGTTTATTAGAAAAATCTTGATTTGAACCCCTTGGTGGTAAAGGTAGACTATGCAAGTAGACATGAATATGCTACCTAAAATGTGTTAATTAAATTGTGTCAAATTAATAGTTATCCACAGTAATTTGATAACTTATAGTCTGTTAAGCAGAATTGCATGTAATTGTTATGTAGACTAAATGCAAAATAAGGTACATGAGCTGAGTCTATAAAGTATTACCCAAGATGACTAATAATAAACTGTCGGGGCTGGTGAGATGGCTCAGTGGTCTAAAGCACCTACTTAGAACAAGCTTAGCAAAGCACAGGGACCGCGGTTCAATCCCCCAGCACCACATGCCAGCCAGCCCCACCCCCTGGTGGACTGAGCTGGCCACATACATACACACACACACACACACACACACACACACACACAAAATTATTTTAAAAAATAATAAACTATCATTAATGTAGAACCAGTAATACATATGTGACATGTTGTTACTGGACTGCAACTATGTTTTTTAAGAATATGTGCTTGAATATATAGAACTGGCTTGCATAGATCATCAAGATTACACTAAGCTCTGCAGTAATGTCTAGCTTTTGGGAAGGTAGTTTTCTGTGTTCCGGTGTTAAACTCAGGGCCTTGCACATGCTGGGCCAGGGCTAAGTGAAGATTAAGGGATTCATTTGGATCCACTTGTATGGAATATTGAGAGACTGGACATTAAGATTAAACTTTTCTGTAGTGACTCAAAAATAAATCTGGATTTTTTACTTATTTAAAGCTAGAAATGATGAAGGAAAGTGAATTATTTATTTATATTTGAAAATGTGTCATTAGAAAGGATTCCTAATTCCACTCATGGAAACATTTATTACCTTAGTAATATACCTTAGTAATATCTAGCCTTCTAATTTGAAGCAAAAATCAATCAGTAAGAATAATTCAACTTTAAAAGTCCCTGTGAAATATGTTTCCTAGTTTATAATTTTACATCTTTAGAAGGCTATGTAATCCTTTCTTGCACAAGAAGAATATACATCTTTTTTTCTATAAAAGTTTCTTTTAGATGATATCATTTTATTTTGTGTATGTTTATATGTAATTGGAAAGTACAAAGTATTGTAGATTTATTATTCAGTAGAAGTATATCCTTTCAGGGATCATTTGCTTTCTAAAGAGATCTCTACCAGTAATTAGGAATAGATTGTACTGAATCACTTAGATCAATGTTTTTATAAAGCAGCATTTAAGAAAGAGTTTCAGATACTATGCTTGTACAAGTTCTGAAGGATAATTAAAATCCAGGGTTTAATAAAAGGCTATTTATTTATTTATTTGCAGAACCAGGGATTGAACTCAGGCCATTGCACTTGTCAGGGAAGCACTTATTCTACTGAGCCATCTCCCTGGCCCCTAAGGCCATTTTAATATAAATATTTTTTAATTATTTATTGTTGCCTCTTTTGAGGCAAATAGAGACAACTGTATCATTTTGTGGCGTTTAGGCTGTAAGCTTGATTGGCTTTGGGATCTGGGGGATTGGCAGAGAACATTCTGGAATATATCTTCATGGGTCATAGAGTCATGACCTGGTGTCTTAGTTACTCTTCTCTCATTGCTGGGACAAATACCCAACACTCAAAATAGGGAAGGAAAGGTTTACTTAGCTCACAGTTACTGGAGGTTTCAGTCCATATTCAGCTAGCTCCAAGGCAGAGTGGAACTTGTCAGAGGGCAACCTTTCATGGCAGTGGCAAACAGCAAGAGCACAAAAGAGGAGTAGCAACAGCTCAAGCAGCTGACTTGTCTTTGCTCCTTACATTGAAATGCGGATTACCTGCCCCAGGGCAGGTGCAGAATCAACACCCACAATAATCAGTCACAAACTCCAGAGGCAGCCCCAAGACTGTATGAGGCTTTGGGGAGACAGCTGTACACAAACCGTAACACCTGGGTATGGTGTCCCATTTCTTGCCCCTTTCTTTCTGCACTGTTGCCCTGCTCTTCTTGGCTGGTGTGAGCTAGCTTTGCTCTGCCGTGGCCTCAGTCTTTCTTTGGAGCCATCTGACCATGTACTAAAAGTGTTAGCTAAGTTAAATTTTTCCTCCTATAAGTTGTAGATGTCCAATATTGTGTCCTAGCTATGTCTAACTAATACACCTTTAAATAGCTAATACACCTTTAAATAGCCTAAAGTACATGCAAATCAGTAAGTGTAATTAAATCTTATTTTTAGATCAGACCCTTTTTGGAAGTCTGGCTGTGGTATGAGATACAGATTGAGTAGAAGGTACTTTTGTATTTATTTTGTAGTGAAACTTAGTGAATTGTTAATTATAAATACATTGCAGAAGTATGCTTAGCGTTACAGAGAGAAAATAAACAAAATCGTAGAATCACCAAACAATTTTAACTTATTTTTGTATAAACAGTGTGCTATTTAGAGTACATAGCATAACTTAAAATTTGCAATATGCTCATTTTTGTAATAATACAAGTCTGACAAAGAAAAAACATATTATAGAGAAAAGCAGCAAGCTGTTATTGGCTTTAAAACTAAGCTAAGTAGTTGATCTATGTGTATCATATAGATTATAAATATTCAAAATACATAAGTGACAAGATTGCTTGTTTGGTTTATGTTGAAGAAATATGAGATTAGCCTCTTTTCGCTAGGGAGAATGTAACCTCTGGGCTCAAGAGGATTTCTTATTGTGTATCCTCTCCATCTTCTAACTTTTCTGACTAGAGTCTAATGGTAGGTCTTGGCTGAAAGTGCCAGACTTACACTAGTTTGGTAGATAGTTTTCTTTGAGGCAGGAAGTAAATTAGTAGTTTTTTCCCACCTACTATAATGGGTGCAATAGATGATACCTTAAGGTGCCACAGAATTTCTTCTTTCTTCACCAGTGTTCTTCGGGAATTTTTGTTCAGGTCATATCCCTAGATGAACAGTTTTCTTACTCTATATTTGTATTCTCCAGTGTGGTCATCACTAGCTGTGGGTGGCTGTTGAGTACTTGAAATGCTCCTGGTTTGAAAACAGGTGTGCTGTAATTATAAAATACAAGATTTTGAATACTTGACACAAAAAAGGAACTGTAGAATGTCTCATGAATAACTCTAATGTTGAAATGATTTTAGAATATTCAATTAATTAAAATATATCCACTTCTTCCTCTCTTTGGTTGTTGATGTGCTCCTTGATATTTTATAAGTATATACTTAACAGCTTACATTTGTTCTTTTTTTAAATTTTTGTATTTTAGGAAAGAGTCTACACAGTGTTCAGGGTCTCACTACTAGATCAGACTCATAGTGATCTGCCTGTTCACAGCCTCCCAAGTGCTGTGATTACAGGTGCATGCTGCCACCATACCCAGTCTCAATCGCTGTCTCAGCGTGCCCCAGGGGCGGGGCCAGCAGAACAGGCCCTGGGATTGAACTCATAGCCCCTGCACCTGCTTGCAGGCACTTTAATCTGCTGAGCTATTTGGCCGCCGTATGGCTTACATTTTGTACAACACTGTTAGACCACACTTATCTATAGGATGCTAAGACTTCCAGTGCATATTTGAATTAAAGAACCATAGCTTAGCTATGTTCTAAGAACTGTTCAGCTGTAGTACCTGTTTTACCTTATTTTCCTTCTTTATACTTCCTCTTCCATTCAGCCTTAGCCTATTTTAGAAGCTGTTAGTGCCCCAAATTAGGGTTCGACTCTTTTCCTGATCTGCTTACTATTTATTTATTTATGAGCAGAATATATATATATATTTTTTTATTTTTCCATAATTTTATTGATAAACAAATAGCAATGAGACAGTTTCAAATCAAATTGGTAGGACAGTTTCAATAATTAACCCATTGCATACATTCTTCCTAGTGGTTAATTGCTGTACAAGATGCGGACATGATATCCTATTTACAAACACCATTAGAACAAATCACTCTATTCATTAAGAGAATGTAACTATATATCTATCCTAACCACTTTGAATACACAGATACAAAATGGACATTCATCTGTATACCCTTTTTTTGTTAAGTTCCATTATTTGAATATTACAGGTGTGTAAACTCAGTAAAATATTCTAAAAGACTCCAGTAGCCCATAATAGTATTGGGTCTTCTGCTTGACTGGCAATGTCAGAAATTGTGGCCCTGAGTCCCCTACAGCTCAACATAACAGCATGGCTTTACTTCTTATATTTTGTTTTTATACTTTTCTGCTGGATGGTAAAGACCAAGGTAAAGCAGGACCTATGCAACAAGAGTTGTAGCTTTTGGATCTGATAAGGTCAGTGAAATCCCCTCAGGATTTATCCTGAGATCCTGTACCTCAGATTGTATAAGCTTTGTCAGTGTCAGCCATGTGGATGAGTTACAGCCATTGCTTGACCAATGTGCTCTCTGTGAAAGCCTGAGAGAATGTTTTCTCTCCCTGTGACTCTCCTTAGGCACACTCTACATCATCGATCAGTGTCCTCTTTGGCCTCCATAATCTCCTTGATGAGAAAATTTGGGACACTACCAAGGTACATGACATTACAGTACAAGTTCTCATATGTCCTGAGTCTTAATTGACCTTAGAAGGCTAGGGCCAAAATGTTGGCTTTCCTTGCAGACCTCCTTTTTCTCTAATTTTGGTCTGCAAACTTAGGTTGTTAACCCTCCAGAAGACAAGCTTATTGTTATTACCATACAACCTAGGCTGTTAAGCTTAACCTCACTATCTGTCTGAATATCAAACATCTTAGGCATAACATGGAACAGGTATTTTTCATCAAGTATTGATATGTTGAACTTTAAGTCCCTACAGAATATGATAAAAAACATTTAACAATTAGAATATATTTTAAAAACAGGCATAAAGAATTATATACTTATGTTTACACATAAGTCCAAAAATCTCACCATATAC